ATTTGATTTTCTTATCTGGTTCTTAATTCATAGAAAACTGAAAATGAATGATCTGAAATATGGTTTCCGCTGAAATAAAAACGAAAAAGTACTGTAGTAAACTTTGGGAATGGTTACCAGAAAATACTGGAAGTTGTTTATTTTCATTCGATACCAATACTTGCGCAATAATTCATAAATATATATCGTTTTCATTTTTCTTCAATATTTGTTGTTCGAAAAAATATTGTTTCTAATTCGGCTTTTCTATCTTTGCAAGCATTTCAGCCTTAAAGTAACTGAAATATTCAATAAATAATAGATAATTAATTGGATTATAATTCAGTTACAGTTTCGGAAATCATAATTGGTAAAAAAAAGTCCTAACTTTCGGAACCCCTGTGACACTAACTGGTTCCGCGTAACACCAATAGGGGAACTGCTGGTCTAAATGTGCGATATCATGGAGAAATGTTCTATGTACAAGTTTTTCTGACTTTCTATAATTTATCTAAAATTAAAGCTTTCTATAATTTAAGGACTTTTTACACGAGTTTAAGATAATTGGGGAAATTATTGAAATGCAAACACTTAAGCTTAAATTTGAAGCAAGAGCTTAAATTTGAAGGCGAATGACGTCTTACGCGCGCGATATAAGCCATAAAAATCATGTAAAGTCTTCAAAAATCTTCGACAAGGCAGACAAATATGCTCTTTTTCTTCGCATATTAGCTCAAAAAATTTGAAAAATTTAATTGCAATTTTATGTAATAATTTTACATTTTCTGGAATTTTGTCAGAAGTTCTTTCATTGAGACACAATTATTTTATTCTCGTCATTTTAAATTCAGAGCCGTTAATCGAATATCTCAAAATATATACAAAGCATGGCTTTTGAATTAAATGGCATAATATATACACTATTTTTTTATATGCTTCTCATATCTGCACTGTCAGGACTGGTAGGAGAAAGGCGCTCTTTTCCTGCACCTAGAGTATACGTACTAAATAATACGCATACATATTAATACGAGAAGTAATACGTGCACGAAGTAATACGAATCCCACGTCCGTGTGATATTGGGTCGCTAGAGACAAAAAAGCTTGTTTTATATTTGTTAACGCGAGTCGTGAAAGGAAAGTCACGCGATCACGTATATGTGATCACGATCTTGAAGGAGTTAAACTCAAGAGATAGTTTTAAAAAAATCACCATAAAACGTTTTTAAATTTACCAAAACGTGCTGTTTTGTTAAAAATACACACTTTATCAGATTAAAAAGTCGAACAAAAATCAAAACATTTTTCAATTTATGGAATAAATTGAAATAATAAATAATAATAATAATAATTAATAATGATTTACGTTCACAAATTGTGTTGTGTGAAATAAAATATATATTCAGTATACTAGAGAAGTGGCTTTTAGGTATAGATTCAGTTATTTATTTCATAAAGTTTAAAGTGACTTTTAACTGAAATAAGAGCAAAAACTCTATCTCATTACTGAGGATAATATCAAACAAATAAAATAAACTTTTGCAATGTTGATATTATATCATTAAAACATTCCTCAGATTTATTTAGAAAAATTAAATATAACCTTCTCTTTGAAAAACATGAGTAAAGAAACCTATGCCTTTTTTTTCTTCCAAATATAGAGGCCAAACTTACCAATTTTTATTCAAAATGCTTTTTCCTCTGTAAAAGAATTAAACAAAGCCTCGATTTTGAGCAAATACTATTGAGTTAAAGAGAAAAACAACTCATTTACTTTGAATTCCCTTGAAAGAAACGCATCAATGATCACATACACTCTATCGATTACGTTAATAATTTCTTAAAAAGGATCTTTTACACATTTTTATAGATTTTGTGAATAACACACAATCACAGAATAATTTTTTTCTCGAGTAAAAATATGAAAATGGCTAAATTAATTCTATATACATATTATCATCAGCAATGTAATGATAAGATATATTTTTGAAATAATTCAGAAAAGTTTTTAGAAAAATGTTCTTTGTGAAAAACACCACGATTTTTACGTAAGCAAGAAGACGTTTCTTTTGCGATTTATTTTTATATTTTAACCGTTGTTGAACAGCCAACCCAATTTTTAGGTATACGACTTCTAATTATCAACTCCGTGGCCTTGTAATTTTAAACCCAATCCGGAAAGCAAGGAAACTCCTGTATCAAGTATTAAGAGAAATTTGCCTTCGTGGACGACTTTTTCTTATGGAACTAACCCGCATTTGCGTTACATGGGAGAGGAAGACCACGAGAACCTCCCATTGTTAGCCTGACGGGATGGGGACTCAAATCCACGAACCGTCTACCACGGAGGACATTTCACGTCAGCGCTGTGGTCGGTGCAAGCCGGGTGCGGAATTCGTATCGACCAGCCATCACTGAGATTCGAACCCGGTTTACCTGATTGGAAGGCGAGCGCTCTATCCTCTGAACCATCGCGGCTCCTTTTGCGATTCAGTAGAAATTGCATAAGGTAGTTCTTTAACATTCCAAAAGTATTGCATAACACTTAAATGTGAACATTGTCACTAATAAAACAGTGGCTTATCATTAAATTTCTCCAAGTTCATCAATTCTTTATGTCGTAAGACCAGTGCCATGTCTAAATTCCAATCCGGTGCTTGCGTTACATAAAGAGGAAAACCATGGATACCTTCCACAGTTAGCCTGACGGCAAGAGGACTGTAACCCATAATTCACCAACCACTGAGGACACTCTCATTGTTAGGACAATTTAATTATTATAAAATAATATTTAAACATCAATATTATATGAAAGTTAATTTAAATACGGCAAATTTTGAGAAATATAATTGTTAAAATAAATAGAAATGTAAAAAAAATGTATCTAAGCAATTTCCAAAAATCATAGAAGCTACTAAATTTTTATTTCAAATTCTATTCCCAATTTTATATTTTTAAACGTTGTTCATTCATTATTTGGATCACTTATTGTTTAAAATAAAATCATAGATGGCAGCATTAAAACCTAAAAAATTTCATCTGTCACTCAAAAATTTATTTCTTAAGCTTATTGGTTATTTTCTAATTACAAATTAATACTCTGACGAATTCCATATCTAATTTCAAAATATAGTTCTGCAAATTTCAAATACATATATTTTTTTGCATGAATAAAAGAAAAGGACTGAATTATTTCTGCGATTGAGTGCTTGTAAAATGCTTGTTCGAATGTTGAATCACTTGTAATGTACAATGTCAGCAATTTTAAAACTAGTGGTAAACTGCGTCATTATTTTAACTGGATGTCATTAGTTTTATTATTTTAAAGAGGACAAACAATCTATAATTAAGTGTAATGAGTTGAGTTTCTTTTACAGATACTCTTGCATTACTTTAAACTTATCTCAAAAGATGGCGACACCATAGTAATATTTACTTAAAACTTTAATCTACAAGATATTTCAAAGAATTCATAACTGTAGACAATTTTCCATGCAATCAACCAGCTAATAATAAAACAGACAAATAAATGCCCCGTTTAATGATTATTTAAAATTCTTAATTAACCTTATTTATAAGAAGTTTATTAAGATTTCAAGCCACCAGCACTTCGATTAAATCAGAAGAAGTTTAAATTGGGCCGTTTTAAATAACTTGCACAAAATTTGAGGTTTATTTTTTTCATGTAACAAAAAATTATGGTTCCTAACTGCTACTCATTAAATTTGAATTTTTGCCAAATTGTTGTTAACCCTTTTTTTAGGACATGGGAAGTATACTACCCACCGAATTCATTAATCTTTTTATCTCGAGGGATCGCGATTTTCACATCTATGATTTGCGGGACCATCTACTGATAAATTCAGGTAAATAATGCCAGTGAAGGAATTTGTTTACATAAATGCATGTATCAAGTAAAGGTTAGCTTGTAGTCAAGAAGTAAAGCAAAATTTGCGGAGCCATTTTCTGTTAAGTGATCGTTTATTTGATTATTTCTAATTAAAAGTAGTTATAAACACGGGATTTTTTTTAATTTATTTATTAGCACACAAATTCAAATTTATGGCCAATTCAGATAAAATTTTTAATATCCAACTACCTTCCATCATAAAAAAAACTCTAAAAATTAAATTAATTTTAGGTAATAAGCTAAATTAATTTCCTTATAAAAATCAACTTTGATTCGAAAACTTTTTTAACATAACATTAGTAGAAAAAAGTATCTCTATAAAGGGTTTGTAGAGAGTCTACCGCTACAAAATTGAAATTCCAATTCACTAGTACATAAGACATGCTAACTCGATTCTATGAGGGGATACCTTTTTAATAGATGGAGGTTGATATTGTCGATATGACTCTCCCCACATTGGTGACCCGGACGTGATGTGAACATGCCTACCTTGACAGAAACTCCCACCTCGATAGGAACACGCCTATCTTGACAGTAACGCCCATTGCGACCAGAACACGCCTACTTCGATGGATGGTTCACATTAAACAGTTGACTTGTGACTGCGACATTATCCACCTCCTCACGCTATTGCTACTCAGTCTCATTCACACACAACGTACAACATATTCACTCGACTGCTAAAGGCAACGCAGGAATGACCACGACCGTGATCTTAATACAGCTCTCACTATCGGTACTCAAAAGTACGGTGATCTTAATACAGCTCTCCCGACTTCTCACAAAACAGCAATGAATCAACTAGTGGTATCCGTTCATTGAATTCTATCACAGATATAATTCTGGTGAGGGAGTACCGTAGTGTGTCTACCACTACAAAATTGCAATTCCAATTCACTAGCATATAAGACATGTTAACTCGATTCTATGGTAGAGTACCTTTTCACAGATGAAGGTTGACATGGAATCGATAGGGTGACATTTGATATCGATATGATTCTCTCCACAGGTCGAGGAAACTAAAACTCGTTAAAATAAAACGTTAAAATAAAACTGTAAAAACGAAACAAATTTTATTAATACACAATGATTAAATTGCTTATTTTTACAGCTTACAGAGATGAAGAAGGAAGACCTTGGGTTTTGCCAGTTGTAAGAAAAATTGAGGAAGAAATAACTTCTGGAAATAATATCAGCCATGAATATTTGGGCCAATTAGGGTTAGAAGAACTCAGTCATGCTGCTACAAAATTGTTACTTGGAAATGATAACATAGCTCTTAAACAAGGCAGGGTAAGTAAAGTTCAATTGAAAAGAACTACCAAAAAGAGATTAATAAAAGAAGAACATGTTTGCAACACTCAGATAGTCAGACGTACACAACCGTAATTAAACCATAATGCGGTGCAAATTTTCAGCTACCTAAAAAAGGTGTAAAATTGAAATATTTTAGAAAACATTAAAATTGAAGTTTTTCTGTTCATGTTCAAGATAATATGGTTCAACTTATAAGACATTATGGTTAAGATAATATGGTTATGATATTAAGATAATATGGTTATGATATTTAGATAATATGGTTAAGATAATATGGTTATGATATTAAGATAATATGGTTAAGCATAATCTTAAGGCTGTGGCAAATTTAAACGGTATTATGGGTCAACATGCTCCAAATAAAAATTCTAATTGTGTGGTGGTAATTTTTGGAGAAATCGGTTTTATGTTGAAGCTTAATACCTTGAACCATAATACGAGGCAAATTTTCAGAAACTTAAATCAGGTATTAAATTGAATCACACTTCCATTTAAGTTGAGCTATAGTCTCGTATAATCATATTTTGAACCATAATAGGGTTCAACTTAGCGTCATAATAAGATTCAGGCAAATTCATACGATATTATGGTTTAAAACGCTCATAACAAGAGTTCTAATGATCCATGATTTTAAACCTGATGTTAAAAAATATGATTGTATTGTACAGATGTATTTTTTAAATAACTGTCTGTTGTATTTAGAATTTAAAACTAATTTTCACAAACTCACAAAATTGTTGAAAAACATGTTTTTTTCTATTAAACTCACAAATTGAAAACGTATTTTTAAATCTCAGTTAAATATTAAGACAAAAAAAAAGTCTATTTGAGAAATCTTTGTGGATTAACGGTAAGTAATTTTTCGTCTAATTGCAGAAAGAGAACCTCAAAATCAGGTAAGAAATTATTTTGGAAGCAAGCCTCAGTCTTTGTTAATCCTGCTCTCGCAATAAGAGTATACTAAGCAATAATATAAAAGTTTACTTTCAAATTATAAGATTGATCATTCCTGTGTGCGTTGAAGTTTATATTGGAAATTAACTATAATTTGTTTTAGTTCTTTTTGTATAGTATGGAATATAAACTTAACATAATAACAATTTCTCTAAAAAAACATTTAATTATAGTAATAATATGTGTTAGTGCTAAATGGCATCCATTTTAATATAGGCTTTTGGAGTACAAACCGTAGGTGGGACTGGTGCTTTAAGAGTAGGTGCTGACTTCTTAGTGAAGTGTGCAAAATTAAAGATTTTCTACATGGCAGATCCATGCTGGCGTAAGTGAAATTTTATTATGATTAATATTTCGTTAATTTGTTAAATTAGACGACATATAACATGAATTTGACGATAGGATAAATTAAACGATATATTATATAAATATAGAATATTTATTAAATCGAGCATTATATTAGTATATTATAATAATTGATCAAATTATTAGACGCACTGTAGATTTTTAATAATGATGTGATTTGCACGAGTTTATACGCGATACTTTTATATTTAAACATACACGTAATGAGTTTTTTATTCAGATTTTTTATATACTTATGCACTTCCCATTTGTATTAATTTTTAACGTATTACGTTACAATGTTAACCAACTGATACAAGAGAGTAAACAAATGCAAACCGGTTTCATCCTAGTAAAAACAATACAGTTTTCATTTTGGCATATTTATAGGTACTATAAATTACTTTTACGCTGATTTCTATTGAACTACAAATAACGATAAATTATTTCCCAAGCAAGGTTTTCTTAATTTGGAATGTTTAAATACATTATAAATTATTCTTATACTGTTACTGAATTATGAATAACTATAAATTACTCTTCAATGTCTTTTCAATTCGGAATATTTACATGAGTTCTTATCTCTTAAAAAGGATAAAAAAATTTTTGACTATAAATGATAAATGTTTGCATTTTAAGAACTTATTTCCAGGCTTCTGTTTAACGTTATTATATTTTACTTTATCATAAGCTTTCATAGCTTATCAATACCTGATTCACGTCCATATCAAAATTCATTGCCGTACCCTTATAATTTTAAATCCAACCTAGAAGACGAAGCATCAAGCCTTTGGTCTTACTCATTCGGACATACTATTAGACCAACTCGTGATCTGTTTACCACTTCCACTGAGATACTGTGGACACTGCCGTCGATGCGAGCAGCAATTTAAGAATTGATCAGACTTTGCCAGGGTTCGAACCTGGGTGTATGAATTCGAATAGTTAAATGCTAAATATTTCAAACAGATCCGAGGCATGATACCTAAGGAGCCAGTTGACCGATTTACATTAAATGTCATTGAATTGTCTTAAACATGCCAATTTCGTGAGAACTACGCTGAAGGCAACTGTTACTTTTATGTAACCTATTACATATTAAAAAGAATTTAAAATCGAAATTCATGCAATTATTTGAAAATAAAAGAAGTTGATAAGAACAAAGGAAGAAACAAACGATGCTACATCAGTATTTAAAAACAGTAAATTCGATTTTTTTTTTCAATGGAAATCTATTATATCAATAATAAAATAAATAGACTAAAGGAACTAATCAATCAATATGTTAGCGTAGAACAATCAGCAGAATAATTTTTATTGGAAATCTATAGTAGCAATAAAAATTCGCAGCTATTACTTTTCGTCACAATAAATTTCCCATTTTTTCACAACAGTACTTATTTATTGAGCAGAAATGAAACGAGAAGCCTTAATTATATCATAATTAATATTTTGGTCAAAATAAATTGTAATGCTTACAAAAAAATAGTACTTTTAAGTTACTTAGCACTAAACATATCAACACTTAATATATACTTATTTCTACCATAGCCGGTCAAATACCCAGACTTTATGTTTCTTGATTGAATGTATGAAATATGAATGTTAGGAAGGAAATAAACTAAAAAAACTTAATTATAATTAAACAAATTGTATATTGCTAATATATAATATTGATTATAATTGTATATTGCCAGTATATTGTATTACAAACACAAATTTCAACGCATTTTTTACACATACAGGGTGTTTCCATTGTGCATTTTTCGCAAACATATTTCTTTTAATTATTATTATTTCTATAATTCTTATAATTATAAGAATATATAATTCTTATAATTATAAGAATATATAATTCTTATAATTATGAGAGTATATAAGAATTATAATTATAATTATTCTTATAATTAATATTATTTCCTCCAAGAACTTGCGCTATCTTGATTGTTTCGACATTTTTCTGGGTAAAAACTAACAGTTAGTTAGAAATGAAGTAAAGCTATCAAAATAAAATAAAGCTACTTACTAAAACATTTAGTTTTTGTCACTTTTTCTTACACAAAAGTGCCAATCTGAAATTTTAGGTACTTTCTTGAAATTTGAATTCACAGTTATTCTGATTGAACTAACTATGCAACAGTCTTTGCAGAAATGTGCAACCAATCGAATGCAATACGTTGCACACTTCGTAATTTCTGATCCGATAACCTTATAAAGCAATAAATTGTTCTCCTGGTCAAATGACCGGTTATGGTAGAAATAGGTATACAACAAGTATTATTTCGAAACAAACAAAATACAAAAAAAAATAATAATAATAGATCATTAACTGCATATAATTGTTAGAAAAAAGTCATGAAGTCAAATGTGCAAAAACGATAAGATGATAAGCGCATTTTCGATGCAAAAGTTCCTAAATGGTCATTTGACCGGTTATGGTATATTTAGTGTTAAATTCACATAGATTTAACGCACGCAACTCATGTAATTATTATTATATAATGTTTGGAATAAGTTGGGACATTTTCATAATTTTATAACAAACACTTGATTTTTTTTTCTTTTTTTTTTTGCAGCAAGTCATCATCTAGTGTTTCCATACGCTGGCTTTGCAATTTGCCGTATTTACAGATATTGGCATTCCATGAAAAAATGTTTAGACATTGAAGGACTTTTAGAAGATCTTAGAGTAATGTTTCTTTTTACCTACTTTTTCTTTATAAATTCATTAATTATTCTCTTCTTGCTTGTTTGCACGCGTTAATTTTATTTTCACAATACGGAAAAAAAGAAAGCAGCCTAATAACTCTTGGTTTAATTATCGGATTTTCACATACTCAATTTCAATGATTCGAGAGCTTAACCTTAAATGTACTAATCAATTCCTGCAAACGATTTTTTTTAAGTTGCAAAATCAGACGCAAAATCTCACTTTCTCTGAATAAACATGCATTTTCCGAAAAAAACATTCATAACACTTATTAACTCCTTTAAACTTCTAGACAAAAACATAAAATTTTAAAATAAAATATGAAAAAGAATAGATATAACAATTTAATGAATAATTATCGAAAGTTTAAGGTATATCTTGAATCTAAAATTAGAAGAAAAAAATTATGAACTGATAGTTGTTAAAATAAATAAGCTGTAATAAAAATAGGCTGAAATAAGTTAATATAGAAAATAAGTTGAAATCAAACTCTACTTTTTTTTAAGCTCCACGCGTATTTTTAATAAAATCCCCGTCAGGCCACGGGAGCTGCTAAGACGCGCACGTATTGCCGTATAGCAATGCTACTAACGGATTGAAATAAATAAAAATTTGATTAGTAATGAATGAAAACTAAGTGAATTTTAAGTAAATTTTCACTTTTAGAAATTTCTCGGAAAAAATGGTTGAATAACAATTTATTGAATGGTTAGTTTGCAAAAAACTGTTTATTAACTACTGTCTCCTTACACGGTTAAACAAGCAGAATTTTATCGCACCCACTAGAACCACCTAATGAAGCTACTTAGTTCTTTGCAACTGCGTACATATCAAAGTCGAGCCGGTTAATCTGTCAATCTCATGACCGGCAGAACTAGAGTTCCGAGTCCTAGTGGTGACACCACAATATTTCCTCTATTCTCTTCAACACGTGAAGAAATTCCATTGTCCGGTACTCTCCGATTCCCATTATCTTACGAAAAGCCGAGTCTAGTTAAATAATAATTTTTTCTTCTTATTTTTTTTAACGTTTCTTAAAAACGCCAGTTGTAAATGCTTAAGAAAACGTATAGCTTTGTAGTCATGGTTTTATAACCATACATTTTGTAAATGGTTTCAAAACCATAAAGGTAAAAAATGTTCCTTACCGTAAACCTTACAGTTAATCGGATGGACAGACAGCTGTCAGTTATTTTACCATAATTTTAGAATGAAAATTTTAACAATGCAGTAATTACATAAAACGATATAAAGTTTTTAGTTTTATATCGAATTTTTACTACCCATGATTGGCATTGATCGAGTTAAAGATGACTCTAAATAGAAGAAAAAAATAATGTGAATATAAATTTAATTAATCGGATTTATTTAACAGGCTGCTCCTCAAGGTTCTGTGGTGATATTACATGTTTGTGCTCATAATCCTACTGGGATCGATCCATCAAAAGATCAATGGATTAGAATTGCTGACGTCATGGAGGTAACATATTTTTAATTGAGTTTTTTTTTTCAGTCAAATTACTGATTTTTTTATATCAAAATTATCTTAACCTGTCATAAGGGGTATGGGGTAAAATTAACGGTCGACAACAGGGCGACTAAATATAACAAATGGTGATTAAAAAATGGTCTGCCAATCGCCACCCGATCACCACTTTTCCTCGAAAAAAATAATAATAAATATGGAATCAAAATGAATATTTCATAATTTCCTCAAAATTACTTTATTTTACGCTTGTTTCTTAGAACTTTTCTTCGATTTAGAAGTGAACTTTACCATATTACCATGTGTTGCCATATTTTGTTAAATGCTTTCCAAAAAATTCCTTATACAATTAATACTAACAGTTTTTCTAATCGATTAAAATTTCCAATGTTTTAAAAAAGCAGAGGGAGGAGGCAAGCTGAGCTCAGAGTCCCGTTTTTCGAAAACTCTAGGAGGACTTGAGCCAGTGATATTATATTATACATATATATACAGTCAAACCCCGCTATAGTGAACATGTTTATAGTGAACTCCCGGTCCAAATGTTCGGTCCCTTGCCTTGCTATACACGTATAATGTCATTTTTTGTGGATATAGTGAACCAAAAAAGTGAGGAAGTTGGATATAATGAACTTTTATATCTTCGACTGATTTTTTTCTTCATTTTTTTGATATTTTCAGGGAGTATAAACTATCCTAATCTGAAGTTTGTAACATATGGAAAAATAGGCAATTAATAATTTCTGCTCATGAAAAAAAATTTAGATGGCAGAATAACTTGAGAAAAGCAGATCACAAGGATGATGAAGAAGCATTACTGAAGTGATTCACCATTCGAAGAAGCCGCAATTTTCCTGTATCTGGACAAATGTGGATGAATTTGCTAAATGTTTTTATGAGACTACTTTCATGTGCTCGAATGGCTGGTTAGACAGGTTTAAAAAACGGAATAACAGAAATTCAGGAAAAATTATCTGAGAATCGGGAAATGTTTCCATAACTGATGATGAGGATTGCTCATCAGCTGAAGATTACTAATTTTTTTTGTACGCAAGACGAAGAGTAATGAAAAATAACACATTTTTTGCTACTACATAATATTTTTCAATAATTTATTTGAGTAATGTGCAATAAAAGGGAGGAGTTTGGGAACCATTAGGTAAATTATCTGCGTTACGGATATAGTGAACACCCGGTTATAGTGAACCGAAATTTCGGTCCCTTGAAGGTTCACTATAGCGGGGTTTGACTGTATATATATATATATATAGAAGTATAAGTAAGTAGAAGTCTTCGCATTTTTAGAGTCTACTCACAAACACTTCAGATGAATAAAAGTTATGGAATTAAAAGATCTTTAAGCATATTCATTTCACTATTTAAGCGAAGACTTTAAAAGCAAAAACTCTACTCACTATGGGAAACTAATGTTGTTTCCATAAGATATAAAAATGAAACGATAAAATAAAATTTGAAGGGGGAGGGAATATGCAGTTGTTTCGCTTTTGAGAATGAAATTCAAGAAAGAAAAAAATAATTTTACCCAGGTTTATTTGGACGCCATCACACTTTTAAACTGTTTTCAAGCGTTATAATAAACAGTTCGCATGCGTCGTCATTGCATACGTTGCAATGGCAACCGCTGCTGTTTGAAAAAATTTTTAGAATTTTTCGTTTCACTTTTAATTTTGTTACTCACTACGTTGGTTAGTTTAGTTTTTGGCGTATCGAACCCATAAATACTTCTTTAGTTATGAATAAAAGAGAATTTTATCATTTGAACGATATTTTTGTTTTATTGTTTTAATTAAGAATCAGAAATTCTAACCTACAGTTCAAACTGTAGGTTAGAATATGAGAGTATTTGTTTTCTTAGTATAGACATAAATCTGGGGTCATAAGTGATTCATTTTACTAGGGACACCTAAAAAAGGGAATAATGAACGGGCATTTCAAAATGTTTTGCCCAGGGCAGCTCTTCTTCACAAAAACAAAGCGTATTGTTAAAATTACACATGAACAATTTTTTTACACTGTACCATTATTTATGCAAAAGTCGTTAAGGATTAAATGTGTCAATAGTTAAATTCTTAAATTTAACATCTTATTATATGACATTAGCTAAATATTGCAGTAGCTAAATGAATAGCTGATGAAATGAATAATTGTAGAAACAATCACCCGCAAGCCGCTAATGAACCTTTATTAATAAACATATAGATCGCCAAGAAATTAACATATTATTAGTAGAGTTGCTAAATTTAACATCTTATTATTTGGCATTAGCTAAATATTGTAGTAGTTAAAAAATTACCCTAAGAGCAGATTGCTTGCAAACTGCTGTGTCTTCACTTATACATATATAGATCCTCATGGATTGAATTTTTAGTTAATAATGTAGCTAAATTTAACATCTTATAATTTGACAATAGTTGAATACCCAAATGAATAGCTGATGAAATGAATAATTCTTGAAAAAATTACCCACTAGCCACTAGTGTACCTTTATTTATACATATATAAATCGTCAAGAATTTAACTTGTTACTAGTAGTGTTGCTAAATTTAGCATCTTATTATTTGACATTATCTAAATATTGCACTAGCTAAATGAATAATTATTTTTTGTTGAAGAACTTACCCTACAAGCAGATTGCTTGCCCACTGTGTTTTTATTTATGCGTAAATAGATCGCAAGGATTAAATATATTGTTAGTGCAGTGTTGCTAAATTTAACATCTTATTATTTGACATAAGCTGAATATTATAATAAATAACTGAATAGCAATTTTTTCTTGGAAAATTAGACATCTCAAAATTAATGAATAAATCAATATTAGTTACATTTTCTAATCATTTTGCACTATAAAATCGATTTATTTTTTATTTCCTGCTTTTTCACTTTTTATAAATTGTGAAAATTATGCAAGCTGACTTCCTTGTTAAAGAATTTATCGTCTAAAACAATAAATGTGATTTAAGTACTACTAAATGATTATCTTCTTGAATCTTGTCTAATATTGAGACATCTTATCACTGAAAGATATAATATCGCTTGTTTTGCACACTAAGTTTCATCTCTTAGCTGATTAAAACATCATAAACTTTTGTTGCTCCATCAAGTAGCCATCATGATAAATATTTGCTTTTGTAGAAAAATACTTTTTTTATTATTATTTTCAACTTTCATTTCAGTTTAAAGCGTGGAAAGTTTCTACAGCTGATGCTTTTCTATTTCAGAGCCCTTGACAACAACTCTTTTCTTTTCAGTTTATTGCGCTGATAATTCTAGATTTGTTTTTAAAAAACAAACACTAATAACCTTGCTTAGTAACCATTACGTCTCAAGCTGTGTTTAGGAATCCTTTCTTGTCCGTTGATGTTCCGTGCAAATTTTAATGGAACGTATGAATAAATATTATACTAAAACTTTTTTTTTACTCTTAAACATAAATACAAATGATGATATAATATTAAAACTAAACGTTGGTAAAACATACATAAAAATACAGGTGAAAAATATTTTTAAAAATTATTCTTATTATTTTTTTCCAATGTCCGCCTGGGGAATGACCTACGTCATACTGGCATCTGAAGGGCAGATTTGTTGACTATTTTTCATATTAGGAGGGCTAACGTTGCTCCCACAGTAAGGACAGATAGTACAGAGAATGAAAGAACATCCGGGATTTGAACCTAGAACATTTCTGGTGCAAGGCTAGTTCCCTGACACAGGCTTTTTTAAAAATTATGAGATTGCAAAACTAATGTAACACTTTTCTTAAATAATAATTACATTAATAAAAAAACTCTGGAGTATCTCAGGGCTTTCACATACCAATGAGGTCAACCGGGTTCGAATCCCAAAGACGGCTGATCGATACAAATTGCCATCGACCACAGTGCTGACGTAAAATATCCTCAGTGGTAGACGGTTCCTTGCCATCAGGTTGAACATCCTGTCCATGTAACATTTGTTCCATCGATAATTCCAACAAGAAAGACTTGATCTTCAAGATTGGATTCAATCCCTTGTCTTGTTTAAAATTACAAGACTACGGAAATCAAAATCGGATCGGATGTTCAACGGAGGTTATAAAATAAAATAAGTGGAAGGTTTAGTTACCACCGCTTAGTCCGGGGGTTCTAATCATATATATCAAGGGTGGTATTAAAGAACACCCAGTGTAAGACTGTATTTCCTTATACTAATTTCGGTTGTCTCGGTGTATAGTTATCCTACAAAATTGCCTAAAATTCATTGACATAAGATTAACCTCCATAGGTGTAAGTTTTCGTCTTCCGAGACTTGCCCGAGAATTCAATTTTCCGTGCTAAAGATTTCATTTTATTTTAGAACCATCGTTGAACAGTTTACCCAAATTTTGGGTTTTCGACTGCAAATGTTCAGCAGCGTGATTTTGAACCCAATCCAGAAGACAAGGGAACTCCTGAATCAAGTATCGGGAGAATTTTGCTTTCGTGAGGGACTTTTTCGACGGAATTAATCCGCATTCGCGTTACATGGTGAGGAAAATCACGAAAACCTCTCACGGTTAGCCTGTTGGCAAGGGGACCCTAGCCCACGATTCGTCTACCACTCAGTTATTTTACGTCAGCACTGTGGTCGGTTTGAGCCGGGCGTGGAATTCGAATTCCAGCCATTACCGGGATCGAATCCGGGTCACCTCGTTGGGAGACGAACGCTCTATCCCCAATAAACCAGATACACGGACAAAATGTTTTAAACAACCAGAAGATAAACTAGCATGAAAAATAGCAAAAAAAAACTTTTGTATTGGTATTTTCTCCCTCTATTATTCTTTTATGTTTCATTTTTAATGAACATAATATTTATTCAAAATTTAACTGAATATACATTCTGCTTTTATCGCAAAAAAAATTTAAAAAAAGAAAAAAACGAATGGAAAATAAATACAAAAAACTTTGAAATACGTCAAAAAAATTATATTTCTATTTTTTTCTCTACTGCCTTTTTTCTTATCATTTTTAATAAACATACTGTCCTTTCAAAATGTAACAAAATATTCATTCAGTTTTTATCGAGAAAAAAACGAATGGGATAAATCAGCAGAAGATCCAAAACTAACAACATGAAATACGTGAAATAAAATATTTCCTTGTGTGTTCGGTTTCGTCCTTGCCAGTTCAAGGAATTCGCTCCAATACACACTTAATGTTGCATTGAAATTGTCAAACATGAAACATTCTCTATTTCGATAATGTAATCGATGTCAAATCACTCTCTAAAGAATATCTGAAAGCATTTAACTACGATTTATGCTAGTAAAACAACAGTTTAACTATTCCTTCATATTAAAGGACTTCGGTAAACTTAAGCGAATAAAAGTCGTCTTTTTATATGATATATTAAATGTCACTGTCATAGTTGTTATTAAATGTCATTGTCAAGGATAAATAATTAGATATCAGATAGACCATTAATGATATATATGTGTATATAATGAAGCAAAACTGAATTTCTTGTTGCCTTCGTATTTCAGGTAATTGAATGTTAGAGCAAAACAACAAAACCAACAGTCACTATCGATTTTGATGTTTCTATTATTATTCTGATATATATATATTTCTCTTCAACCTGTACATGAAATTTTATTTTGCAGGAAAGACACTTATTTCCATTCTTCGATTGTGCTTATCAAGGTATTGCTTCAGGTGATTTGGAAAAAGATGCCTGGCCTGTCAGATACTTTGCCTCTCGAGGATTTGAACTTCTCTGTGCTCAATCCTTTTCAAAGAATATGGGACTGTACAGTAAGTATAAGTCATTAATACCTCAATTTCAGTCATCTAACTAATAGTTTATAGTCACAACTTCAAACTTTTGCGCTTTTTGGGGAAATGTCTTTTATTTTATTTTTTTTAAATGTCAACAAAATTCTTTCCATTACCACCCCGCATGTATAATTCAAATATAAAGAAGACCTATTAATTATCCAATAATGATCCTGAAATTCAAAAAAAATTTGCTCGTTTAAATCAATTTAAATAATATTTCACTTTGACTGAGGGAAAAGCAAAAAGTGTAAAACTATGCTTATAGCTTATAACATGATCAACTGCGTCGAGATTTAAGTGCTTATTATTCGCATTAAATATCTAGCTGTTTAAATAATCCAGTTACAAATAATTAATCTTAACACAAACAATTCCCTCAAATTTCTACTAAAATAATAATAAAGTTATCAGAGCCGAGGTGGCTCTCCTAATGAGGTGACCCTGGTTCGATCCCAGAGATAGCTGGCTGATTCGAGTTCCGCTCCCGGCTCTTACTAACCTCAGTGCTGACAAGAAATATCCTCAGCGATAGACGGATCATTAGTTAGAGTCCCCTTGCCGTCAAACTGACCGTTGAAGGTTCTAGTGGTCTTCTTCTCCATACAACGCAAATGCGGATTAGTTCCATCAAAAAGTCCTCCACGAAGACAGATTTCTCCCAATTCTTGATCCAGGAGTTCCCTTGTCTCCCGGATTGGGTTCAAAATTACAAGGCTCTGGAGTTGAACTTTAGTAGTCATAAGCCCAAAAAATTGGGTCGGCTGTTCAACGACGGTTATAAAATATATAATAAAATAAAATTATCAAAGATCATTAAAATAGCCTTATTAAATCCCTACTCACTAAAGGTGCTTCGATATCAATTTATAATTAGAATATTTCATGAAATTTTCTTTTTCTTCTATGAGCACTACAGTCGATTGCCAACTATGACAGACTACTTTGCTATGAAATTGCTTTTATAAGCTTAAAAAAAAACATGTTTATTAGCTAAAATTAATTATTTTTAAATCTATATAAAGCGCAAAAAAAACTGAGCACCTGAATTACTTTTGATTTATAGATCGGATTCTAACAACTGAATCTTAATGACTCGATGATGTAACCTTAAATATGCTAATTAGCTAATGCAGACGATGTTTAATGTTATGAAATCGGACAGAAAAACATACCTGCTCTGAATAGATAGACTTTTTTTTACAATGGAGGGGAGTTCGAAAGGGATAGCCTAGTTGGTGGAGCGTTAGACTCGTGTTCGTGAGAATGGAAGTTTGAATCCAGTTGGCCGAAGAATCCCCATGTATGAAATGGTGATGGGTGCACGTTAAATCTGTCGGGGTCACAAAGTTCTCCAAGTTCCCAGAAAAAATCAATACCCCAATGGATGGAGGTAGCCCCAATCTGGAAAATATGGTTCAAATAGTTTTGACAGAAGAACAGTCGGTTGTTTGGACCCCCTTATTGTTACTTTAGCTCCTTGCGTATTTCCCCATCTCAAAAAAGTGTTCTTTTTAAATTCTTATTGCTCCACTACTAATCGAATGATATTCCCTTCAAATTTTGGATATTTTTTCATTTAAAGCTACATGGATTAAAAAAATGTGTACTCTAAAGTTAATATAGCTAAAATCCATTTTCTTTAGCTCTTAATTAAAATAAACGAGAGATTGCGGCTAACTCTTTATTTTCAAGGTCGAAAGAAAGTTACGCTTATTCCGTGAAAATACGTTTTTGTATCTGATTTCATTACTTAAAGTGAAGCCTACACAAATTAATTTACATATTTAGCGTATTTAATTTTAGGTCTGATCTATGAAGATTGAGTCCTACTACGTGAAAATATGACGATTAGATCAAGAGTTATTTAAGATGTTCGCTTTTATTTTTATGTACTGTATACAGTTATTTACTTTTTATTTACATATATTTGTATTGATATTCCAGGCGAAAGAGTGGGAAATCTGACATTGGTATTTAAGGATCCAAAAGTGATACCAAATGTTCGTTCACACATAACAATGATGATTCGAGGGAATTATTGCAACCCTCCAAGACACGGAGCTGGAATTGCAACCAGAATACTTAATGATCCCAAACTCATTGACGACTGGTAAGAAAATTACACTCTACAGCAAGAAAAATGATTATAGATGAAATAATGTGTTACTTGTTTATTTTTAGCTTAAAATAACGAATGTGTTATTATTTTTTGTATACCACGCACCATAACTCAAAAAGTACGACAGTGCGTATTTTAAAAGCGCACAACAACTAATAGACAAAAAAAAATATGGCGCTCTCAATGAACTTGGTGCCCATTTTCACAATCTTGGCGACTTTAGAGAAAAAATTTTGGCGACAAACACATTTTTTACCTTCCCGAAATTTCGAGACTAGATACGCTAGAACGGAGAATTCACTAGAACCTAGCAACTTCTGTCCGACAAAATGGTATTGTTTGTTTACGGTAAGAACTCCCTCCACCACAAAGTGTGAGGCAGTCTGCTGCTATGGAAACAGGAATTTCAGGGAGGGTAGCTTCTCTTCACTCTAGGGCTAACACGATAGACCAGAAAAAAAAGATTCCATTTCTCTCGCCGAGCCAAATCCTGTCCTAAACAATGACCCCACACCACTACTTGAAATAGTTATACCTCGATTGCCAGGGGGAGTTCTTACTTTAGACAAACTCTGCAAGATGTACCATTTTGTTTTTGATCTATGAAACAAGCACCCTTTATATATACAGGATCATATAGTTTTATATGAAGGACAAAAACGCTCAAATTTGTTTTACAATGAATTAAGATAGTTCAAGCTAAAATAAAAAAAAATGCTATGTAATATTAAAAAAAATATCTATCAAAAATTGTGTTAGAAACGAATTTATAAGTTTCTTGGAAATTGATGTTAATGGATATTTCAATATATTTGAAAAGAATGTTGAATGCGTAGAAATATCCGTTATCTGTTTCCAAAATATTTTTCTCGGTGAAATCTAAATTACTTAAAACACTTGGCAGAGTAAATTAATATTTCATATTTTTGAAGTTTACCCCAAATATTTTTAAACCCAGAAATTTGAATTTCTTTTAAAACTCCACTTAGCATTTCATAATACAGAAGTTTAGGATAATTACATAATAATTTGATAAAGCCTAAGAGATTGGATTTCAATTTATCCAATGCTATAGCTTTTTCTTGCTTTACTTTTGACTCGCTTTATTTAAGGACTTTGCAAAATGAATTAATGTTTTCAAGCCAGATATTTGAACATTTCTTTCAAAATATCCCTCAACATTTCGTATCACTATGTACCTCAAATATGTTATAACTTGATTCTTCTAAACGATTTTATCAGATATTACCTTATTTCTCTCTTAGCTAGAATTTCTGAATCTAAACTAAACCTATTTGATAGATAACTTCAAAAACGTATAGATTTGGGTTATGAATGAATTTATAGCGATACCAATTATCACACTTGGTCAAAAAACAAGCCACGTTTAGCTACTTTTTTTACCAACTAATTAAGGCATACTTATGTTGCATAAATAATTGATTAAGTTTTAAAAAACAAAGTTATAACTTTAATTTTAGTCCGTTAGCAATATTTTCTACTAGAAATGACTTCTGAGCGAGGAATATTTTGTCATAAATTTAGCATATGGTAACATTAATGACTTGATTAAAAGTACATCTATCACAGTTTTTAAATGCTAAACTATGATTATTTACTTCTATAGCGTATAATGGATTCTTTGGAAAGTCAAGATTAATTTTAGAAGCAGGAAAAAGGAATACAACTTTGTCATTCTTAGATTCGTCTAATCAACGGGACAAAAATTTTGTTTTGTTTCTTTTCGGGAAATTGTAACTTTTAATCACTCATTACTCGAATGTCGTAACTCTCTAAACTTCGTTTAGATATAGGAACTCTATCTTTATTTATTGACGAGTAGTACGCATAAAACAATATACCAATTTTTTCCACAGCTTGACATTCCTGAACTAAGTATATAATTTTATTGAATGCTTCATTTGCAGGAAAAATGAAATTAAAACCATTGCCACTTGAATTCAGAAAATGAGATGGAAAACCCGTAGGTCGTAACATTCAAAAACTTTATTTAGATAATGGAACTCTATCTTTAATTATGGACGCATAGTTCAGTTAAAGCAATGATCCAATTTTATTATGCTTGGCATTCATGAACTAAATATGTAATTTTATTGAATGCTTCATTTGCAGAAAAAATTAAATTAAAACCATTGCCACTTGAATTCAGAAAATGAGATGGGAAACCCGTAGGACGTGACATTCTAAACTTTATTTAGATAAAGGAACTCTATCGTTAATTATGGACGCATAGTTCAGTTAAAGCAATGATCCAATTTTATTATGCTTGACATTCATGAACTAAATATGTAATTTTATTGAATGCTTCATTTGCAGGAAAAATGAAATTAAAACCATTGCCACTTGAATTCAGAAAATGAGATGGGAAACCCGTAGGCCGTAACATTTTAAACTTTATTTAGATAAAGGAACTCTATCTTTAATTATGGACGCATAGTTTAGTTAAAGCAATGATCCAATTTTATTATGCTTGGCATTCATGAACTAAATATGTTATTTTATTGAATGCTTCATTTACAGGAAAAATCAAATTAAAACCATTGCCATCCGAATCAAGCGAATGAGATGGGCTTTAAGAACAAAACTTCAAGAGTTGGGAACTCCTGGTAATTGGGATCATATCACTCGCCAAATTGGAATGTTCTGTTACTCTGGACTTACAGGCATGAGAAAATATTTTTTTATTTGCTTTCTTCTTTTTTTCTCTTTTTTTTCTTTTTGTTTTACTTTTTATACAGCGACTATATAAACCACTCATTGATGACATCCATTTCTAAAAATAGTCTAATGTTTTAAGTATTTTTTATAAATCAAATTTAAACGAATTTTTACAATCAAAAATAAATGAATTAACAGAATCTACACAGTAAAAATTCCTAGATCTTAACACTAAAAATGGAGTAATTACTTTGCACCAAAGTGGTGTAATGCAACACTAGAGATAACTCTTTGTTTTTAATGTTTTGCAACACTAAGAATTAAAGATAAAACCAAGGAAGCTCTAGGAATGCTCTTTTAACACTACTTAACGTAAAGTATTCAGTAAATCTAAGATTTACTATTACATTTATATATAATACAAACAATATAATATATAATACAAATTAATATATAATGCAAATTAATATATAATACAAATTAATATATAATGCAAATTAATATGCAATACAAATTAATATATAATACAAACAAAAGTTAGTAAAGTTATTGTTACTATAAAATATATAGTAAGAATAATTTGGAATGCATATGTACACTGATTCTTAAAATAAAATTAGTTCGTTATTCAAACATACACACAGGAAGGAAAGAATATTACAATGAATTCGAACTATGCTTATGAAAACAAAGGCGGATAGAAAATCGATATTATAAAAATATTCAATATAATTGACAAATATTTAAAAATTAATGTATAATTATCCTTATTGCACGACTAAAAACATGCGTACGTTTTGAAAGCGCGAACGTTTTCTTCTGTAGATGCATAGTGCCAAAGAAGACGAGAACAAAACCACGCCATCTCATCTTGTAATCGTCCTAAGTATGCGAAATTGGAGTTTTCAAAAGTGGTAATGATTCACAAATAGTATGAATGCCCAGAACCGCGATTTGCGATTTCTTCATTATCGGTATTTACACAATGACTACTCCACATTTGACTTGAATAAAGTGTAATTGAACGTTTCATTTGTGGTGTTAACTTAAAATAAAGTGTTCCTTAACACAAATTTTTAGATTGTTTAATTTCTAATTCGAAGAAATATTACACCACAGTTTTCACGCAAAGTATAAAATAAGTTTATAAGTATATAATCGTCAGTTAAATAAACAAACTACATACTGTAAAGCCGAAATGGCTTTGTTTTGTTCCGAGGGTCGAGCAAAAAATGCCATTGCTCAATCGGATGTTGATTTTACCAGCAAACGGTTTCTTTGTCATCGACATTTTACAAACGTATATTTATTAAGTGTGCGTATATTTATTAAGACTAATATTTATCAAATGTTTCAACATATTAAATTATAAAATTATATTTATTAAGTGTTAAATATGTGCTTTCAAAAATTTGTGGTCACACTGCGAGAAAACCACTGGACTAATTACAACTGAATGCAGTAATTATAATTTTGATTATTAAAAAAAAATTTAAAAATTATCGAATGAAAATTTTTCTTATTTAGTTATAAATAGAAATTAACTATAAATTATTTTAAATACAGCACCTGGCCAAATTATTAGACTCACTATAAGGCTCTAAGTAAAAGCATAATTATCAGGTGATGTTATTCAGCTTTATTGTTTTTACGCCGATCTAACCCGTTTGCACTTGTTTACGTTCGTATATCAATTGGTTAACACTTTACTACAATACGCTAAAAATAAATGTAAATAAGAAGTATATAAAAAAATCTCCCGAATAAAAATCCATTATATGTATTTTTAAATACAAAAGTATTGCCTATAAACGCGTGGCAAACGTGCAATTATTAAAGCACTACAGTGCGTCTAATAATTTGGTCTATTTATTATAATATACTAATATAATACCAGATATAACAAATATTCTGTATTTATATAATGTATCCAGTCGTCGAATTTATATTATAAATCGTCTAATTTAACCAATGGATACACGAACGTAAACAAGTGCAGACGGGTAGCGTAAAAACAATAAAACTGTTTAGTATCACCTGGTAATTAATATTTTACATAGAATCTCATAGCGGGTCTAATAATTTGGTCTATTTATTATAATATACTAATGTAATACCAGATATAACAAATATTCTGTATTTATATAATGTATCCAGTCGTCGAATTTATATTATAAATCGTCTAATTTAACCAATGGATACACGAACGTAAACAAGTGCAGACGGGTAGCGTAAAAACAATAAAACTGTTTAGTATCACCTGGTAATTAATATTTTACATAGAATCTCATAGCGGGTCTAATAATTTGGTCTATTTATTATAATATACTAATGTAATACCAGATATAACAAATATTCTGTATTTATATAATGTATCCAGTCGTCGAATTTATATTATAAATCGTCTAATTTAACCAATGGATACACGAACGTAAACAAGTGCAGACGGGTAGCGTAAAAACAATAAAACTGTTTAGTATCACCTGGTAATTAATATTTTACATAGAATCTCATAGCGGGTCTAATAATTTGGTCTATTTATTATAATATACTAATGTAATACCAGATATAACAAATATTCTGTATTTATATAATGTATCCAGTCGTCGAATTTATATTATAAATCGTCTAATTTAACCAATGGATACACGAACGTAAACAAGTGCAGACGGGTAGCGTAAAAACAATAAAACTGTTTAGTATCACCTGGTAATTAATATTTTACATAGAATCTCATAGCGGGTCTAATAATTTGGTCTATTTATTATAATATACTAATGTAATACCAGATATAACAAATATTCTGTATTTATATAATGTATCCAGTCGTCGAATTTATATTATAAATCGTCTAATTTAACCAATGGATACACGAACGTAAACAAGTGCAGACGGGTAGCGTAAAAACAATAAAACTGTTTAGTATCACCTGGTAATTAATATTTTACATAGAATCTCATAGCGGGTCTAATAATTTGGTCTATTTATTATAATATACTAATGTAATACCAGATATAACAAATATTCTGTATTTATATAATGTATCCAGTCGTCGAATTTATATTATAAATCGTCTAATTTAACCAATGGATACACGAACGTAAACAAGTGCAGACGGGTAGCGTAAAAACAATAAAACTGTTTAGTATCACCTGGTAATTAATATTTTACATAGAATCTCATAGCGGGTCTAATAATTTGGTCTATTTATTATAATATACTAATGTAATACCAGATATAACAAATATTCTGTATTTATATAATGTATCCAGTCGTCGAATTTATATTATAAATCGTCTAATTTAACCAATGGATACACGAACGTAAACAAGTGCAGACGGGTAGCGTAAAAACAATAAAACTGTTTAGTATCACCTGGTAATTAATATTTTACATAGAATCTCATAGCGGGTCTAATAATTTGGTCTATTTATTATAATATACTAATGTAATACCAGATATAACAAATATTCTGTATTTATATAATGTATCCAGTCGTCGAATTTATATTATAAATCGTCTAATTTAACCAATGGATACACGAACGTAAACAAGTGCAGACGGGTAGCGTAAAAACAATAAAACTGTTTAGTATCACCTGGTAATTAATATTTTACATAGAATCTCATAGCGGGTCTAATAATTTGGTCTATTTATTATAATATACTAATGTAATACCAGATATAACAAATATTCTGTATTTATATAATGTATCCAGTCGTCGAATTTATATTATAAATCGTCTAATTTAACCAATGGATACACGAACGTAAACAAGTGCAGACGGGTAGCGTAAAAACAATAAAACTGTTTAGTATCACCTGGTAATTAATATTTTACATAGAATCTCATAGCGGGTCTAATAATTTGGTCTATTTATTATAATATACTAATGTAATACCAGATATAACAAATATTCTGTATTTATATAATGTATCCAGTCGTCGAATTTATATTATAAATCGTCTAATTTAACCAATGGATACACGAACGTAAACAAGTGCAGACGGGTAGCGTAAAAACAATAAAACTGTTTAGTATCACCTGGTAATTAATATTTTACATAGAATCTCATAGCGGGTCTAATAATTTGGTCTATTTATTATAATATACTAATGTAATACCTGATATAACAAATATTCTATATTTATATAATGTATCCAGTCGTCGAATTTATATTATAAATCGTCTAATTTAACCAATGGATACACAAACGTAAACAAGTGCAGACAGGTCGCGTAAAAACAATAAAACTGTTTAGTATCACCTGGTGATCAATATTTTACATAGAATCTCATAGCGCGTCTAATAATTTGACCAGGAACTGTAAGTCAAGTTAATTTTAGAAATAAAACTTTTTTTCCCCTAAAACTTGTTTTTCATATATAAAAAAAAAATTATAGAAACAAATTTTAAATTCATTTAACTGATGAAATTAGATTCATGTGAACAAATAACGCAACAGCACCAGAAAGAAACAAAATAGACAAAAATTAGGCTCTTTGAGGGGTAAATACCATAGTAAATTCCACATGAATTTTCATTTCTTCTGGAATAGACCATTAATGAATCTTTAAGACAATAAAATAATTTTAAAAAATAATACATATAAAAAACCAACTCATGTCAAATAGGAAAATAAGCGAAGAAACGTATGAAAAGACGTAAGAGTAGCAAAACAATACGGGAAAACTTGCATGCATTAACAGGTTGCTGATTTTACATATAACATAAGATTACAACATAACTTAGCTACCTTATTTCTTTTAGCTTTTATTGTTTATCACGTTGGTTACACTCTCAAGAAAATATATTTAACTTAATTTCATTACATAAAGTTAAATCGATATAATATTGGCATATAATATAACCACCACATAACCCTTTAGTATAATCATATTACATCATAATAAAACCTTGAACTATGGTGTCGTATTCTATGATAATATGGTTCTATGATAATTAGATTGATAATATTATAATATTCTATGATAATATGGTTCTATGACTATGGTTCTATGATAATAAGGTTCTGTGATAATATGGTTCAACTTTGCCCATATTAATATCGTGGTAAATTTGAAAATTATTAGGTGTTAAAGTGTTCATCCTAAATGTTTAAGAACTGGTCAAAGAAAGACCATAATTTGAATAATTAATGAAAGAAAAATGAAGGAAAACAAAAATATACTGTTAATTGCGTTCAGCGAAGGAAACCAGAAATTTATTCTCATAAATTACAAAATTAGTTGCAAATCTCATTAAAATTTATCATTTCAAAATTAGCGCTAATTGAAGCAACAGTTTGGTGCAATCTGACCACAAATTTAATAAACTCCAGTGAAAATACTTCAACTGAACTGAAAATACTAAACTAAAACTGAAAAGCAGGTATACAACAGAAAACATGGTTTTATAGTTATTTGGCAGTGGTGCTATCTGTTGAAGAATTTCGTAGCTATTTTGGATTCTAGTGGGATTTAATTATATAGTTCCCATAGCAGATTTCAGTAGACATTACATTTTTATCATCTTTCATTTTCTTTCTTTTTTTTAAACTAATAGAACTGATAATTAAATAATACAAATTTGGTTATTGCAGAAAAACAGGTAAAGTTCCTTATCCAGCAGTATCACATCTATTTGCCAACAGCTGGCCGAATCAACATTTGTGGTCTTAATGACAAAAATGTTGAATATGTTGCAAGAGCCATTAATGAAGCTGTCCTTACGTATCCTTCTGAAGAGAATGATAACCAGAACAGACGTCGTATTTTCAGCCCTTGAAGGATAAATTCTTCACTAAACTAGTGTTAGTGACTGAGAGCAGTGTAGACGAAGTTAGCTTCTTCGGAGTTGTTAATCTAGAAGTAGTTATTGTTGAGTTTGTTATTTTATTTTTTATGTTTTTATTGTTTATATTCTCGGAACTGTGATCCAGCAACGATGCTGTCTGTGTTGGCGAAATAAATCGACGTCAATTTCAGAAAATGTCAACCATGTATTTACCATATTTACGATCAATCAAAAATATCTCAGATTATGTAATCCATTTTTTTAGAATATTGTTTTAGTTTATTATTTTAATAAAATACTATTATAAATGTATTATTTCTGTTGTTATTGCATTAAATTCTCATATTTTTAATTGCACTTAATTGGATATTAACATGCAGTTGATTTTAGAAAAGAAATATTAATTCGTTTTGAAGACACTGAAAAATAATTTTTGAAATTATGATTTTGCATACGATTTTGCTTTTAACTTAATTTATATATGATTTACTATCTGATTTGCTATCTGATATATGATTATCATCTTCTAGATAAAGCATACGAATTTGTTCACTGAAAAGATAATACAGTTATCAGCATAAAGAATAATTTCATCATAGATTTGTTTCTACAAAAACATATGAATTCATTTTGGAGACACTAAAATAATATTTTTTGATTTTGGATATGATTTTGTTATTAAAGATCCACTCGATGGATTTTAAAAAATCATAAAGCGTGTTTCATTCTTACATGTAAACCGCTTCTCGTACCAATTTTTTTTGAAAAAATATGCATAAAATCAACATATTTTTTTATTTCATTAATAAATACAAGGTACTAAAACAAAACATAATACACAAATTCTAAGTTGAAATTTTTATTTTTTTACGTGTAAAAAATATTTAATTTACCATCAGTTTACTATCCCAAATTATCTCGGGCAAATGAAAAAATTTTAATATTTGTCTTAGTATATGCTCACATCTTCATAATCTGAAAAACCATCTGCTATTTAAAAATAGCCGAAAAAATTTAATTTTAACTTATTTAATAATAGTCGAAAAAATTTAATTTGCAAGGTATGCTAATTTTTCTCATTACTATTTTAAAGAACGTAATTTTATAAGTCGAAATACAAAATTTGAATGAAATCGGTCGAATAGTTCTTGCGAAATCGAATTTTAAATATATAATTTTCTTAAAATTTGATAATTGAGAAACTATCCCTCAATTAATACTTGTCTTTTCAATAACATAGTGATTTGCATTCCTTAATTTATGGCGCGTTAAAAATAATAAATCAAAAATATGAAGAAAAGATTGTTTATTACAGATTAATACTTGTTTAAAGTGCATGTTTTCAGATCAATAGTGAACTCAGCCCCTAAAATCAATTGAATGAAATTTTTTTAAATCACTATGAATTTCAACTAACGTAAATTAACTAAATTGGTTGTCTTAAAACTGTTATCAATGGACTTAAACCACTTTACCTCTTCACTCAGAGTAACATCGTCACAAAAGCTTTTGTGAATAACGTTAATTCGAAAAGCTTTTGCCGGAAAATTAGAAACAAAATGACTTAATATTCACGTTATATTTTAACATACACACGCTTATGATACGAATTTATTTCAAATAAAAAAAATTGCGGGGAATACCATAATCGTCAAAATCTATAAATAATGTTATAAATACTTATTGCATATCTTATCCATTTGAAAAATCTGCAATAAAGATATGAATGATGTTAAAATAAAGAGTTATGGATGAAACAATAGTTAAAATTAAAAAATATGATATAAATACTTTTTGCATATCTTATCCAATCTTAACATTTAGCGCGTTTATTCACTAAAATGAGTTTAATCAGATTAAATTACTTTTATTTTTGAAGAACTTATTGATAAAATTATCAGAAAACTATTCATTGTTTTTTTAGAATGGAAAATGCTAAAATTTGTCAAATGCACTTAACCATTAAGTGCTATTGTGTTTCTAAAAAACGAGACCAATATCACAAAAGTTCGAAATACACTTCATGTAGAAAAATACTCCACTATCTCAAACTTTACTTGTAGAAAAAATTAGCTAAGCGATTTATTTATTTTCATCATTAACGTATGCGTTAAAATTTCATCATAATTATAATTTTCCCGGTTGTTTTATGCTACTAGCTGATTTTAAATGAATAAAAATTTCTAGAAAATTTTTTGTTTCTTCCTTGCTTACATTACTCAGCATATATTGCCCAACATTTAATACAATAATTTTATCACTTAACAAATTATATTTTAAGATAATTTTTCTGCTTGCCTCGCCTTCAGAAAACGATTGTCTATATAAAAATATAAGTGTATTTATGCTCGTTAGTCAAAGCTTTTAATTGCAATAAGAAATCATAAGAAATTCGATTCATTAAATCATAAGAAATTCAATTCAAGTAGCCTTTTAGAAAGTTTTATGGAACATAAATATCTTATTATTTGATTCTAGTGGATTTCGTTTAGTGACCAAAGAGTGAAAAAATACACGATTAGAATATTTTACAACTAAAAATTAAATTTTATCATATTTTTACGCAATATTTAAAAGTAACCAACAAAAGCTAATTAAGTTTATTTAAATGATTTGTCGTATTTTAATGCTTTATTGTATTTGTGAGTTTACCTACTTCTGAGCTACTCATTTTTTAGTAAAAATTGCATTTTCTGTCATTATTTACATAGAAGGTTTATACTCAATTTACGATTATCACTGATTAGCCATTATCGTATACCAACTTTCAAACAATTAATTGTGTTTAATGTAGGGAAAACAAAAAATAACATTAAGAAGCATTACCTACAATCAGTAGTAAGAAGTATTAATCTTAGAAAGGGGGGAAAATACTTGTACATTTAGTATTAAAATGTAAATGAAAGTAAAATACATCTGTCTTAAGGTCCATTTTTTTTCTCCGAATTCGTTCACGATGTAATTATGAATTATTAAGGTACACTGTTAAAAATTTCTGTGTAAAAATGGTTAAATGGAAATTTATTTAACTGTTATTTCACCATATTTAACCAAACTAGGTAAATAACCATTAAAAAAAATGATATTCGAACTGTTAAATGCGAGAGAAAACGTTTGTTGATTTTTTTAACCTGATACGGAACAAAAAAAAAAACAGAATAATAATAATAAACAGAATTCTGGAAAAATGCTTCTAAAAATGATGATTTTTCGGGAGTTTTTTCTCACGAAGTAAAATCAAATTTAAACAGCTTTGGAATAAATTTTACTCCAGAAGATTAAAAATATAGTAACAATCCTAAATAAATCCTGTAGAATAATTTCAATCTAAAAGGTGGTGTTTTGATATGCGTTATTTTAATTAAAAATATGGAGTTAATAAAAATATATCTGAAGAAAAAATTCTATAAAGGGTGGATTTTTAAAATTATTTTCTAATTTTTTATTTATTTCCTTTATTATTTTTTTTTTACTTTTGTGGCATAAAATAAGTCAAATTTAGACACTTTCAGATTAAAATATCATTTCAAAAGAATAGGTTGTTAATAGAGTAACAATCCTTAATATAACCTGCAGAATAACTTTGTTTTATAAAAATTTTTGGAAGAACGCGTTTTTTTTGTCAAAAATAATACTTTAACGTTAAGAAAAAAAAATTTGGAAAAATTATTCTATAAAAGGAAACTTTTTTCCTAATTTTCAATTTTTTCTTACCTTTTTCGTCTTTTGTGGAATAAAATGAGTCAAATTAAGACATATTTAAGTTTAAAAATAATTTCAGAAGAATAGGTTGTTAATAGAGTAGCAATACTAAATATAACCTGCAGAATAACTTTGTTTTATAAAATTTTTTGGAAGGTGCTATTTTTGTCAAAAATAATGCTTTAACGTTAAGAAAAGAAAATTTGAAAAAATGATTCTGTTAAGGGAAACTTTTTCCTAATTTTCAATTTTTTCTTACCTTTTTCGCCGAATAAAATTAGTTAAATTAAGACATATTTAAGTTTAAAAATAATTTCAGAAGAATAGGTTGTTAATAAGGTTACAATCCTAAATATATAAATACACCCTTATAGATTTACTGTATTGTAAAACTTGTTTTGGAATGCTTTATTTTAGTCAAAAAATAATGCTATAAAGTAGAGAAAAAGATTTTTTAGAAAACAATTCGATAAAAGACAACTTTTTGGAATCTCCTTTTTGGAATAAACTAAGCAAAATTAAATTAAGAAGCTTTTAAGGAAAAAAAAAATTATTTGAGAAGAATAGGTTGTAAATATATTAATAATCTTAAATACATTCTGCAGAATAAGCGGCAATGAGCTAGGGAAAGATTTTTAGTAGACAATCTGAGAGAATTTAAATTTCAAGAATTTTCAAAGCATTCCAACGATGCCTTAGGTTTCACTTTTAATGATTAAATTCTGATAGATATCAGACTATTTGAAAGTGCTGCAATGTCGAAAAGAAATAGAAAGATAAAATGAGACTTAAAATTCTTTATCACTTCATAACCTGTATAAATTCAGCGAGACAACAAATCACGTGTTTTATGGGAAAGGGCATCACTGATTATTGAAAGTTTGCGAAACATCAATTTATATTATTTCTTATTACAAAAGAAGAACCTTCAATATTCTAAGACATGATATAAAAATAGAAGGATTTTAATTTTTAATGTATCATTTTATATTACTTAGAAGCATTTACTGGATCAGTTTTATTTAAATTTAACTTGCATCTATTTTCCTTAAACATAATATGCATTCAATTAATTTATATTTAATATTCATTATTTAATACGCATCTTAAATTCTTAAAAAATAATTGTTAAATTGTCGAAACGAAATAAAAAAAAAGGCCCCTATTTACTAAATGAAAGTGAACGCTTCTGCTCTGGTAAAAATGGTTAATTAAAAATCATCAAGGCCGAAATAATTATTAATTAGGTTGACTATTTGGCTTGAAAGTAAAAGCTAATTATGATTGACTGAAATGCTTTTTGTGTATTATTTAATTAAAATTCACTTATGAATCAAGATATGAAGCGTTTCATTCTGCTCCACTGCAATGCAATTAATTGCTTCAGCAAAATTTTAAAAAATACGTGTTAAGAATAATTTTTAGTGAGCACCCAGTATTTTGTAGATTTAATTCGATTTTTGAATATCAACTTAACTATCAAAACTTAATGGACATTCCATGATACAACTAATTCAATTTCATAATGAAAATTAACCAATTACTATAAGTTTATTTGTGCCAAAAAAATATTTTTAAAAAAAGGAGGAAATGAAAATTTTAAAATCTGT